CAAAAACTAATGAAACATCTAGTTTGATTAACAATTTAATTTATTCTTCCCCCCTTCCCCCCTTCCAATGTTGATTAAGTTGAGCAAGAAACCTACACAGAGTGCTCTCTGCCATAGACGAACTATTGTACACAATTTGTTTGACTCTATGTCCAGATAAAGCTTTAAGTGGTCGAAAAACGGAGCAAAAGTATGAGTTAAAAAGCTCTGCGTTCAATGCTGAACGGTGGTAGAGTGCCGCTTTATGGTAATTCCAAAACAATTTCGGATTTTCTTTAAATGAAATTTCAATTGTGTCCAAATACTTTTTATGTTTCTTTCGCATAACATTCTTGATATTCTTGACTTGCTGACACAATGTCAAAACTTTAATTTGTGCGAATAAGGAATTCAATAGTATAGTGATCGGTCGGAAAGTTATGTTCATCACAGGAGAGAGTTAGTACATCGGGTTAGTTGCTATGGAGTTGTTTAGAAGACTGAGAGGAGAGGAGTTGGGAGAGGAGTTGGGAGGATGGTAATATACATAAAGAACTAGAAAATACATGCATGCAGAAACCCTCACCTTGCTGACAAAACCATTGTATTTTCTGAACATGAAGTATCTAAAGTAGTTGTTATGGTAACACGATAATTTTTTAAGAATATTCTCACAAATGAAAAATCGCCTAAAAATATCACTTTTAATTACAAAATTATCAATTTCCCAACATATGTATGTTAGGTATGATATTATACGTAATATAAGCTTCAATTTAAGATAAAATTCAACCACAAACGTTTCGCAAAACGTTTTAATTAAATTAAAGTGTTCTTTATAAAACTAAACTCGAGACTAAAGCCCCGTTTACACTACGCTCAATTTTTGGTACGGCACGGATAAAATTGGTACCCGTACCAATTTTTTGGTTCTTGGACTATCTATTTAGCTAAGCCTCGTTTACACTACGCTCAATTTTTGGTACCGTACCACTTTTTGGTTCTTGCACTACCTAAATAGGTAGTCCAAGAACCAAAAAAGTGGTACGGGTACCAATTTTACCCGTGCCGTATCAAAAATTGAGCGTAGTGTAAACGGGGCTTAAACTGCCTTTAATTAAATGGCCTTATCGATAAACTTTGATTTCAAATTATCGCATGCAAATAACTTTGCTTTCTTTTTAATTTAAAAAATTCAAAATAATAAAAAAGGGAATTAATATTAAAGATACACGGAAATTATATGCTGTCTTGTTTAGTTGTTTCATATACGCAAAGGCCGTCGGGTTTTAAAGCAATTATAAAATCAATATTTAAAACAAATTTACCTCCGTTAACGTCGGCTCCCTTCTTTTAGACGATTCTTTCGCCCTTTCTTTCTTGAAATTTACAAAATCTTGCAAAAATGCGAGCAAAAATGAAATATATTTGCAAGAAATTTATCAACTCATCAAATCAAGAAATGTTTGCTATTTCGCGGTCGTCATACAGTCGTTATAACACAGAGACGTAACTAGTGTACCCACTTTTTTTGTGCGCATGCTCGGCAAGTTACTAGATGCATGCATCTGATTGGATGACGACTTGATGACGACTCACTTTAAACTTGCTGAGCACGCGCAGTTGATCATTTTTCGCCCGGTCGCCTGAAAAAAAGTGGGTACATGATAACGTAATCTTCCGCAGTGTTTACAACGGTCAGTTGCGTCTCTGTATGTCTTATCTACTCTGTGGTTTTAATGTAAACTTAAATTTGACCAATCACAGTGTTCGCTATTCATGACAGTCCGCCATATTTTTGAGATCATTGAGGATGACCATCCACGCACAGTGAGCCACGCCCGCGATCATTGGTGAACTTTAGACTTCGCTAATGCTTTCGTTTCCCCGGGGGTAAATAGCCGGGGGGGGGGAATTAGTATCCTCGCACGGCGCTTCGCGCCGTCGGCTCGGGGATTACTGGTTCATTGTTCGCTTTACTGAGTTGAACTACAGCAAGTTCAATGCCATCTCTTTCGAGGTCACAACGCCGACTTTCTATAATGTGTAAAATGTTTTCTGTAATCGCGATTTGAACACCACCGCCAATTCTCCCGGTCCTGTCCCGACGAAAAATATTGAAACCTGGGAGTAGTTCTGTATCAAGGATTGTATTGTTTAACCAAGCTTCACAAATACAGACAACTTTATATTCACCAACGTGAACCAACTCCTTCAATAAAGTTATTTTGTAAACTTTATTTGAAGTGTCATAGTCAGCAGGGACGAAAGACGTCAAACTTCGGGCATTTAAGTAAACTGACTTTAATAAGGTCGTTAGGATTAGTTTTACACGGCTTGGCAGGACGGGAAGGAGTTGGATTTAGTTGCACGTCGTTTAAAAAAAAGACCAACATTAGTGGTAAAGTCGATTTTTGTAGTAAGGCAGATGCATTTCGAACAGTTCGAAGAATAGATAGTGATGTCGAATCTTTTCTCATACGACGGGCTTGAGAAAAACAAGGAGAAGTTAGAAGGTTTTTAGAGGAGTAAAATAATGTCTTATTCATTTGTGAGACGAACCACGCGGAAAATCAACCAAGCAAAAAGGACTGTATAGACTGTTTAGAGAAATATCATATTTTAAATGTTAGAAAACGATGTAAATAATATTCAAGGGTAGACCCCGCACATATTGTACATGTTGGAAAGCGACAATCAAGCATTGCAATGATAATATTAATCTCAAATTACGATTGAGTGTAATATGTCAAAGTTTAAACAGGTAATTCCAAAGATAAATGGCAATTCCAATTAATGAATGATAATTCCTAAATTGTATTTTAGGAATCAACAATCTATAGACTTTCTGCTAATACCCTATTTTTGTATATATAGTCAGGCTGTTTCAGGCTACAAAAAAGCAGACTTTTCCTGGTGTGTAATCGGTAAAAAATTAGAGACTTAATATTATGCTGTTTTGAATCTCAAGTTCTATCCTTTTACAAGGCCCCTATAGCAAAGACGTGAATTTGCAGCAATATCAAAATTCTAGTTTAGGAAACAACAATCTATGGACTTTTTGCTCATACCTTATTTTTGCATATAGTGAGGCCGTACGGGCTACAAAAAAGCAGGTTTTTCCGTGTGTGTAATTGGAAAAATTTAGATTTAATGTTATGCTGTTTTGAATCTTACATTATTCTCACGTTCTAT